TATTTGAGGCATTGATTCTATCGGGACCTATATATGGATCGGGAGATTATTAACGCCATCATTGCAAGATTGAGGATTGGATAAGATAGTAAAAAGAGTTTATCGAATGAGTTCTTAAATTTGCCAAACATTTGCTAACTTGACTGATGTGTTTTTTTTTGTGTAGAGCAACACATGAACTCATGTTGCCAGGACTTGGCGGCGTTTTCCCGAAAAATGTGAATAAGTTGTGTCTGTAAAGTAAAATGAAGTCACTTGCAAATTCTTGAGCACGAGTAGTTGCTCATCACATTCACGATAGCAGCCACTCGTCGTTTTTCGCAACGTAAAATCAAGACCCTTTTCGAGAACTTCTTGATTATCAAGCCCTTGTGCTCCTCAGTTTGGTTTAAGAAATTGATTGACATAACCACTCTATCATACCGTCATACTGTAGACTTAAAGGTAAAATTGCAAAGCTCGATGCCTTCCAGAAATTTCAAAATCATTGTAATAATGTTTTTGATTACGCTTAGTAAGAATAACATACTCATTCTATGCCCAATCTGAAATGAAAAGTCGCAAGAGCGAAATACGGAGATGAAACATTGCAAAATATCCAATATCCTTAAAGTACGGCTTTTACATTCCTATGCAAAAGGGTTGCAAATGATTAATAGCATTAGGTGACTCCTATTATACGGCAATTCTACTATTTATTGTCATAGTTTATGGCATCTGAAATGCCCATTTTCGTAGTTTTGCTACTATACAAAGCAACTTACAAGATCAAATATCGTGGCCAAAGACCTGGCATTCCCAATTCCCAGAGCAGCAGCCTGTTCAAGATGGTGATAATCTGGATTGTTCAAAGTACATTTAGAAACAGCTTGCAACCATGAGGGATTATTGACTGCTCGAGATAATGGAGTGTCCTGTTAGAAGATTTCAGGGTGAAGAACAGCACTAATAAGTTAAGCGGAAATCTCACCCTGACTAACTTCCAAAGAGAAAGGAAGTACCATGATACACGCCAATCGTATAGAACTTCACTAAGCCGTTCCCAAATAGACGGCACGGTTACTCTTGCCACTCTATATTCCTCTTCAAAAGGCAGACCAATATAGTAGTCGATATCTGAAAGAGAGCAAAGTTGGTTATGGACTTATTCCAGTTCTTTCTCTCGCGGATCGTGTTAAAAATATAAGCAGTCAAAACATTAGGTGTACTGTGTTAGAATTAAGAGGGAACGGCTTTTGTTATTTTTCAGAAATAATATTTAATCATCAATTCAAGAAGTTGTTAATAACCGAATGACCTACGATTTGGCCCTGTAATCTCTTCTCTCAGAAACTGCCCGATACTTCTTTGTTTTTCGTCTACGTGGCGAACGATTTGATCTACAATCCATCCAAAGGTGTAAGCATGGTATCCATTCTTCCTACCGGGTTCCCATTTGGGCTCCTCATTTTCAAGGATTTCTCTGATTTTGTTGTGATCAGCGGCGATCTCTTCCGTTATGGGTGTGTCTAAGTAACCCAACCCTGCCTAAAAGATTTGCTATAACCAATTATAAGTGTTAGCAGCCACCAGCCACTAATGCATACCTCATGAGAAAGTGCCATTTGAACAGTGATATTCTCTTTTCCATGTCTGGCAAATCCCGGCCAGTAGGTGGAAACGCGGTCGTCATATCGAAGTCGTCCTCGTTCGACTAACATTGCTACGCAAATAGCTGCTACGGCTTTTGTCGTAGAAAAGGTGACGGACATAGTATCCTGCACGTCTCTTATAGGTCATCTTTTTGAATAACCCTTAAAAATTGTTCTTAACCACACCTGTTTCCACTTTCTGGCCGCTTGATAATCGGCATA